TGATCAAAAAGCCAATTGCAAAAACAAATGTCTCTTATACTCTGTAATGACAATGAGATGTTTGAAAATATCATCATCTCTGCTGCGCAATTTGTCTGATGAGAGAACATTAGGCACACCCACCCAAGAGGACTGTTCTGTAAAGCTGCGCCTTGTAAATCCACCTATACGTAGCAGCAATCCAAAGGCAAGGTCTCAAGTACAGACTGATGGCCATGAAGTGAAGTGCGAACGATCAAACACAAATACATGAGTATCCGGCATGAGTATCCACAGGAGTGTGCAGCAATTGCAGCAAAGCTGTCATAAATAAACTCCTATCTGATCATACAGCGCTACAGTTACACTTGGTTAACGCTAACACACAGTTTGGGTCCAAATGTAGGAAACAAAAATAAAAAGATGCCTTTTGTGTTAAATTCTGCTTTTTGTGGACCCGTCCACCCACCCAGACAGCTTCCCTCTTCAGGCTGTATGGCTTTGTACCAATTTCACATCACACTCTTCTGATAGACAATCCTCCTAGATGGCTTTGTCTCTCAACAAAATTGTTGTTTTTTAGCTAACAGACTGTTGCTGCTGTTTCTCTTGGGCTACCAGTAAATTCAGAAGCATCAGTCTTTCATCAGCTGGTCTCCTCCACATGTAATTGAATGGCAGTCTCTCACTCCACTGCAATTAGCAAAGTGGGGACTTCAGAAGATGAACATTTGGGACCTTGTCAAGGCTAACTAGGTGTGTAGGTGTGTGATTGTGTGCTTTACGTTTGTTTGTAGATTTAACGAGACCGACAAACAAACCTATAGCTAAATGTTGCCCAACATTTCCTTCCCGTTCATCACCTAAAGCGCACTCTGGCTGACCTTGTCTTTATGATAAATGTGTGTTATTGTGTTCATGTTTAAGCTCCAAGCAACCATAGTTAACATGTTGATGCAACAGCAGCAATAACATAATTAGGCAGCTAATTTGTTTATTGTTAAAGGTAATGCAGCTCGGGTCAGCTCCCCCCACGGGTAGCTGCCTGCATCTGTGATTGTTTGTCTTCTTCGAGATGTATGCGTTTGCTTATTGCTTTATCACTGGGATTTATGTGTGTTTTTTCAGGCTCTCTGCTTCTAGTTTTGCGCACCACAAGGCGACTGAGCGTGAATGTGCCCACATGCACGTGTGTTATTCATAAGATGATGTGGTACGGCGAGGGATTCTGGGGGGGTCCTTGTGTTTTTATTACCTGCTGGCGGCCTCCTGCCAACATCCAGCTTGATTAACTCCACCCCCTCTCTCGCGCGCACACACACAAATAGCTACTTTGTCACTACAAGTCTGCAGGAGTTGTAAAGGAGCAGCAGCTAATGTTCTCAAAATGTTATTAGCTATTAAAAGCCTGAGTAGGAGACAAAGGGATCCACTGTTCCACTTTATTTCTTACGACACTTTGTCAACGAGAGCTTTTACAAAAGAGGAAATCCACACGCTCCCACCTGTGCGATTCAGATGTTTGCTAGCAGGTAATTTATTACCAAAGCTTGAATTGCGGGATGTTCTCGGTTTGCGCGCCTCTTTACAGATGTCTACAGTACTTTATAAAGGTAACATTTTAAATAAGGGTCTAAGGCACACGCGGTAACACTCTCACACAAGGAAGCAATTTGCTCTTCCATAGAACGAGTGTAATTTGGTAAAGACAGACTGTGTCCCGCTGCCTCCTGTTACTCATTTGTGGCAGCTGGTAATGAAAGGGCCACTGGAAGTCTTAGGGGTTTCACTTAAGCCATTTTGTGCTCAATTTATTTTTTGTATCAGAGTAGGCAGTGTGAGATGGTTTGCCTAACAAGTTTTTACAACCCACTGATATAGATGGACGATGCGCCTCTCCTTAGGCGTCCACTGATTAAAAGAAATGTCTACCATATGATTAATCTCTTGATGTTTAAAAAAAATACAAGTGCAGGATCTACGTGGAAGAAACAGGTATTTCCGACATAATTAGGTCCTATCTAAAAATACAATTATAGTTATTCCTCCTTACTGTACAGCGCTCACATCCTGATTTCATGGTCAGTGCAGCCTCCATCCATCATCCATTGAGTTAGGTCCCTATTGGGTAACCCCTCTGTCTTATGCCACTTTCTGCTCATCAATCAGTCAATTACTGGAGGAGTTCAGGGTCAAAACTCAGGCCAGACATACATTTAAGCCCTCTAAAGTTGTTCATTGTACTGTGTAGAAAAACCCCATTTTTATTTACAATTTGTACAAAGTCGCAGTCTGCAGTGCAAGCTCAGCTCAGTCAGCCTGAACTGTATGATGAAGGAAAGCTGCAAGGAAAATCAGTTTTTGTATTTTTTTTCCCTTCATAAAATATAGTAGTACATAAAAAAACGAGTGTAAGGATAAGAGGACTAGACCAGGGAGTGAGAAAGGAGGGAGGGGAATGGAGCGGCTTGTGAGATCAAGGTCGTATCCAGGCTTTAGTATTGGTATTCTCCTCAGTGTTAAAATGATTCTACCAGTGAATAGTGTTTTCATTCCTCTCCTGAATGAGATTCACAGGAGCATGGAGAGAGAAAGGGGGAACAGGAGATGGAGAGAGAGTGAGAGAGAGAGACATGACAAAGAAAAGAGAAAGCTACCCCTCCCCTCTCCCTCTTTTTCTCCCCCCTTCCTCCCTACAGTTTGTGCTCCCCTTGGACATACAATAGCAAATGAAAATACAGCGTGGGATAAACAACTTTTATCAGACTGGAGCAAATGAAATCGACTATTTTATTCAATTCTTCATCCCTGAAGCATCCCTTACTCCATTTACCCAGCAACCTCACCCCTGCAGTTTCATCAGAGAAAAAAAAGAAAAGAAGGTGCTTTATGCAAATCAAATGCTTTATTCTTGATTAGATTACAGACGCAATAATTGTCTTGGATGATTTATGGTTGTAATTGGTTGCCACAAACTGCCGCAACAAAAGCTCAGTTGCCATGGTTTGTGCTATGAACACATTACATCAACAGATTTTAGGGTATCTCCTATAAAATCCACTTCTGCAGGCACATATAAGTTACATTTGAAAAATTAACTGGCTGAGCATGTGGAGTTTTCTAGGTTTTTTATTACTTAAGCTAAATGATGATGTCCACAGTTGCACTTTTCCCCCACCACAGACCATATAAAAGATGGACAAGGTTTAAAGGTCTGAAAATGAAAGTTTCTTAAATTTCCATGTGTTTAATGACCAGCAGGGGCCACTTCTCTGGTTGCAAAAAGACTTTTGGTTGTATAGACGTCTATGGGAAAAGGGCTACGGCTCCTGTGCTTTATGACCTCAGTAAATGCTTTATGTGCTAAATGACTAATTTCAGGTCATACTGAATAGAACATGAAGGCTTTTCTATAAATTATGGTAAGTCTAAGAGTCAGGAAAGAGAATTATCCAGAATATGTTAATTAGCTACTGACTTGTGCTTGACAAGTTGTTAGCCTAGTCCCAGTCCCTTATCTGTCATAGCGCCAGAAATGATTGCTGCAAAAAAGGCCTTGCTAACCAGTGGGTGATGTAACTATGGTTACGTTCACTTTTTGTATAGTGTCTTTGGTTTTTGCACATGAGGGATCTCCCTTCACCTCAGCTTTGGAAGATCAATGGCCAAGCTATGAGACCTGGAGTGGTAAATTAATTTTCCCAGGGGCCACAAGAAAAACTGGGGTTATTGTGGAGGGCCTCAGCAAGAAGCTTATAAAAAGATAAAATTAATAATGAGCCGAACTGGGTTCCTTTTAGGGTTGTGGCCCTCCACAACAGTCCCAGTTTCTCATGTGGCCCCATGGTGAATTGAATTGCTCACCCCTGTATTAGACAGTGCCACAATAGATGATTAAAATTGACTCTCCCTCTCCTACAGCCTCCTACATCATGCAAACACTAAGCTGCACCTGATTGGTTGAAAGGCTCATAGGGGCTGTCTTCTCATGGATTATAAAACGTAACCAACATGGTGGATCTCTGACAAATTTGAGTCTGGCAAAATTGTTTTTGAAAACACTGGAAAGAAATCAGGAGAGTTGAGAATCAACTTTCATTTTACATCGACAATGGATGGATAAAAGGTTTGGGGGGAGTTTCCAGAGTCATATTACACATCCCTAACTTGCATAAATGAGGAGCAAATGACTCAACACCCCATCGTTTGAAACCCAGCACAACCCTATCAGCATGCATTGCTCGGCTGGAATAGAAGCGATGAATGGTGAAGCATGGAAATGATGAATCCTGTGAACAGATACCACGTGTGGAGACCAAATGCAAAAATAAAAAAGATGAATAGGAAATAATGGAAACAGTTCTCCAACCGGAGCAGTGCTGAAAATGAAATATTTAATAGCCAGACTGGTAATTGAGTCCGTAGAAGTCATCAACCTGTAGGAGTTAGGACATGGGATTGCTACCTTTGTAAGAGACAAGTGGCAAATTAGGTGCCTGCCATTGCCGTTCCTTTCCATTATCAGGTGCTGCTGATACTTCTCAGCAGGCTTATCTCACCGAGAGCTCTTACACTTCACTAAGACCCTGTCACAGAGAGAGTCAGTGAGAGAGAGGGAGAGAGGCACAGAGATCTTCTCTGCTTGACATCGATCTGTGACGCATATCACCACCCCTAATCCAATTAATTTTGTTTTGCTTCCATCGTGGCTTACTTGAGTCATCAAAATTGCATACACAAATACATCTCTGGCACACTGCATTGGGCCATACAAAATGCACAAACAGCTAAATCTGGTAGAGTGAAAATTCTTCGGGTAATTCCTTTCTGTTTCTGCCTATCCTCGAGTCTCCAGCCTTCCTAATTACTTTGTTTCATGCAGAACCCAAGAAGGAAAGCAATTTATGAAAGAGTTAATTGAAAACACTGTTTGACAAACTCCTTTTTCCCCTCCTTTCTTCCCCTTCTGTCATCCCTCTCCACCTCCTCCTTGTCCACCACTTCTGCCTCTCTTTGTACAGGCTGAGGCAAATCTCTAGTAGAGGACCAGCAGCAGCAGTGTTGGTGCGACCATGAGGTCAGAGGCCTTGTTACTCTACTTCACACTACTGCAAATAGCCGGGGCGGGCTTCCCCGAAGACAGTGAGCCTATTAGCATCTCACACGGCAACTGTAAGTATATCCTTTTTCTTGCTTCTCCTCACTTTCTTTATGTCTTTCTTTCGTTCTCTGCTTGAGCACCGTCCCTTCTCTCATTACAAGTCCTCCCTCGCTCTCTGCGTGCACTCTTTTCCCTTTCCTCTTTGTTTTGTACTTCGCAAATCCCCTTCTCGATATCTGTGTCACTTGTTCTATCCTTTTTCACTCGTCCACATCCCTCTCAACACTTCTTTCCTTAGCAACCCCCACCATCCCCTACACTCAACGCATTCTGAAGGCATGGAGTGTAATTTGGCGCCCAAGGATAGCCCCTCTACACACACAAAAACGAAAGACTTAAGGCAGAATTTGAAATGGAGCCCACCCTACATCAAAGGATAATCCGCTATTTTTCTGTTGGGCTCCTAATGCTGTGTGTGATAGTGTAAATGCTGTAGCAGGCTATAAAGATATGGTCATTGTTTCCGCTGATTCTCTCTGTGTCTCTCCCTGTCCTGTCCTGCTGTGCTCACTTTGGGCTTAACGCTGTCCGAGGGAACTGAAGCGCAGGCCAGAAAGCCTCACATAGACCTGCGCTCCTCTATCACAGTGTTTATTCAAACTAAGCGCTTTCATCCGAAGCCACTAACAATAGAACAATTGCATGGTACAGTGCAGCATATTTTTAGCCTACAATTTATGGTTACACGAGAGCCTCAGCTGACAATTGCGGTGGCGTTTTCTTATCCAGCAAAGACACATAGGTTGACATTTGACCCCAAACTCCTGGGACGTATGACAAAAGCTGTGAAAGCCAAATTACAAAATCCCTCACACGAGCTACAATAAGTGGGCACGCACAGGGATTAATTTTTCTCCTCCTTCTTGCAGACACAAAGCAGTATCCAGCATTTGTAGGCCACAAACCTGGAAGGAACAACACGCAGCGGCACAAACTGGACATTCAGCTCATCATGATTATGAACAGGACATTATACATCGCTGCCAGGTGGGTGATAGTACCTCAATTTGTTCAGTTTTAGAAAGACAGGCATTAATTCTGCTTTCATTTATGGAATAATTACAAGGAATAAATTCAGGCCATTGTAAATTAAGCATCTTCAGGATTATTTTATTCTTTATGACCTAATACTAATTACAGTTGCTTTGTGAACTGCTGTGTTAGCTCAATAAATGTAAAACCCTCACATTTTGAACCATCAAGCTGAACTTTGGGGGCCTGCTGTGCTGGTTTCTTTGAAAGTTTTGGTTAATCAGGAGGGAATCATTCAGAGCAAAATGCTGAGACCTGAAATCACTTAGCAGTCTGGACTTTTTCCCTTCATTACCTCTTTGTTGTTTTCTATTTTCAGCTCACCGTCTGCCAAATCCCTCTTTACCTTGTACGATGTCCCTATAGACTTGTGCCCTGTTTTTTTTTAAAAAAAACATCCAAGCACACAAACACAGAGATAAACTGCAGATAAGTTAAAAACTAATGTCAAAGAAAACCGTTTTTTTCTGCTTTTTGTGCTGTCAATAAACAGCAACACAGGACATACAAAAGGTATTCCTTCATTTTATGGCGGCCTAGTTGCTCTCAAAAATCGTTTTTTTTTTAAACTCTTTGTCGCTTTGTCGCTTTGTCTGGCTGACCCCCACTCCCCAGTCTGTCACCTACCTTTATTGCTTTTTGTCCATCCATCAATGTGTTTTTCACCTGTGCGTCTTTATTTGGGTGTGACTCATTTTTCCTGAGATAATATAACTCACTTACAGCATCTGGAGCCATGGAGAAAATCAATATTGATTTTTGTCTTTCCTCTTGTCATCGGTATTTTTTAAAAATGGCGATATTGCCTTAAACTTCGCCTCATTGCAAAGTGAGTGGTTTGACAACCAGTCGGCTCCATTAACAGGCAGGTTTTCCTTCAGCATATAACATTACAGTAGCATTAAAAAGGCCTTAATAAAACTGATCCTTATGTGCTTGTTCTCTGCCCTCCATAGCTAATTGAGTGGCAGGCTTGATTGGATCCTGTTGAAAGCCACAATAGGGGTCTTTCTTTGTTTCCCTCCGAAGCATGTCAAATTAAGTGGCTGAGGGAGGCTGCTGCTTTAAGAGAGCTGTTTTTTAACATATCTCTGGTCATTAAGAGGAGGTGTATGGAG